AAATGGTTTTATTTTAATAAAAGTTGGTGAATGTATTTATCTTACTGTAAATAACAAGTGAAAAAATTTTCAGCCTTATCAGTTGGACATTCCGGTTTTTATACTACTTTTTTTTAATTCACTAACGCTCTAAAAATGAATATTTCAGCCGCAGTAAAGAATCAACGTTGGCGGATTTTGGTTCTTGACATCCTTTACGATCGGTTACGATGCCTAGAGTACGGAGACCTGTACGATTTCGTCAACTTAGTGAGTTTGATAGAAGCCGTATAGTGGGACTTCGGGAAGCTGGACTTTCTTTTTGGGCAATTGCAGTTAGAGTGCAAAGAAGTGTAGACACTGTGGTTAGGTGTTGTCAGGCATGGCTTCGAGAATGCCGTACGCAAAGAGCAAGGGGCACTGGACGCCGCCGTAGAACAACAGACCGTGAAGATCGCCGCCTAAGATTATTGGTCTTAAGGGACCGTTTCTCCACTACCAGGTCCATTGCAAATGAATGGTTTGCAGAACACGGAAGACCTATTGGCATGCGAAGTGTTTACCGACGAATGAGAAGTTTTGGCTTGTTTTCATACCGGCCACACTGGGTCCTCCCTTTAACTCGAGAACACCGACGTAATCGCCTTGAGTGGTGCAGACAACGGTCACTCTGGGATCAGGAATGGAACGGTATTGTCTTTAGTGACGAGTCTCGATTTTGTTTAGGCATGCACGATGGTCGTGCCAGGGTTAGAAGGCGACGTGGTGAAAGGAGGCATCCACAGTTTTTTGTTGAAAGACATGTTCATCACACTGTTGGAGTTATGGTTTGGGGTGCTATAGCTTATGGTTCCAGGTCACCTTTAATCTTCATCAGAGGTAACATGAACGTGCAGCGTTATATCTACGAAGTTCTAGAACCCCATCTTTTTACCCTATCTTGACACCCTGGCAGATCCAACTTTCCAACAAGATAATGCCCGATACACATGTTGCAAGAGTCACAATAGACTTCTTTCAGCATAATGATGTCACATTGTTACCATGGCCACCAAGATCTCCCGACTTATCCCCAATTGAGCACGTGTGGGATATGATGGGTAGGAGATTGCTCAATTTGCAACGTCCTCCTCAGACTCTAGAAGCACTTCGAGAGGAGTTGGTGGTTGCCTGGAATGAGATACCACAGGAGGATATTGACCACCTGATCAGAAGCATGCCTAGGCGCGTTGGAGAATGCGTAGCACATCAGGGTGCATCCACACATTATTAAAGGTCAAAGGGCTTTAAAGCAGTGCAATCATTTTTAAATTTTTATCATTTACTTATTATGCTTCATTAAGTACTTATACAAAATTTTATTAAAATAAAACCATTTAAACTGGGTGTTCGGATTTATATGTCACTTAGTATAGAATAATCTCAAATATTACACTGTAAATACCATCATGCTTAGAAATAGATATTTTTTTTCTCTATTCTTTCTTTTTTTAGCTATTGCAATTCGACATACAGTTAGTCCATGCACAGGCATTGTCCTTTTATAGATAAATTATATTTATTTACTCATTTCAGGTTACGTGTATTTATAGAGTAAATAAAAATCTATAAATATATATCTGATAACTTCAGGGATTTGACTATGTAATATTTCTTAACCTCGAATTCCACAACATCGGTTTTAGTAGTTGTTCCCCCACCCGAAGCTCTTCTGTCTGCGCCAGTGGCACTACAATGTCGACGATATCAAAAATACTGCAAAGAAAATTCTTTTATGTAAATATCAGGATATTAGCCAGTGATATCAAACTTTTACAGGGTATAGCAACGAAACTTTCTGGACAATTACAACTTTTCCCTAGGTGGTCAAAGTAAAAACATGTATATTTAGTCTTTTATGGTATCTCTTTCCGCCGCTATAGGTTTGTTTTCTTTCCAAGGCACCCTCGCTTGAATATTAAGTAGCACTCCTATTCTAGAACTAACGAAATTTGTAGAACACTGTCTTTCTAGCAATTTCGTCATGCCTCCTGTTCCAGTTCTTGCCTTCCCACATTAACGGTACGAGGGATGTCTTTCAAGTTTTGCATATAGAAACATAGTAGGCCGCGCGGATCGAACGTCAGTACTGAATCTTAACCTCAAACTTAAATTCAAAGTTTCACAACAATACGTGCAGTGTTCTCACTACAGTGAATTTTTAAGTGTCACCAAGTCATTAGAAACATGGAACTCAACCGAGAACATTTTCGCGCCATAATTTATTACAACTTTCAGAGACAATTATCGCAACAAGAGTGCCTTGCTGAGTTACTGTCTGTTTTCGGCAACGAAGCGCCACATCAGTCGACAATTTCCCATTGCTATGGAGAATTCAAACGTGGACGGGGGTGAGTCTTAGCGACGATCCCAGGGTGGGTGCACCAAAAACGGCAGTCACCCAGAAAAACGTCGATGCTGTGCGCAAACTCATCATTGAAGATATACATGTGACATATCGCGAGATTGAGGCGTCCTTGAAGATATCAAAGACCTGAATTCAAAAAATTCTACATGAAGAATTAGGAGTAAGAAAATTAGTTTCTCGTTGGATAGATCAGAAAGCAGCCAGGGTTAGTTGGTGTCAAAAAACGCTTGACCGTTTCAATTCCAGAAACTCAAAAAATGTGTACAGCATTGTTAGTGGTGATAAATCGTGGATTTACTGTTATGAACCAGAAAATAAACGACAGTCGGCTGTTTGGGTGTTCCAAGGTGAAGAAAAGCCAACAAAAGTTAACCGTTCTCGAAGTGTTTCGAAAAAGATGGTCGCGACACTTGTGTCAAAAGCGGGTCATATTGCAACAATTCCTCTTAATGAGCAAAGAACTGTTACTGTGGATTAGTATACCACCATCTGTTTGCCAAAAGTCATCACCGAGCTTCGAAAAATCAGCCCCGAAAGAAGAATCATCCTCCACCAAGACAATGCAAGCTCGCACACAGCCCAAAAAACAAGGCAGTATTTAACGGAAGAAAACGTGGAATTATTAGACCATCCTCCATATAGTCACGATCTAACTCCTAACTATTTCTTTACTTTCCAGAAAATTATTAACATACTGCGTGGTCAAAGGTTCTAGTCACCAGAAGAAGCAGTTGACGCATTCAAAAATGCCGTTTTGGATCTGCCAGCAAACGAGTGGAATAAGTGCTTCGAAAATTGGTTCGAGCACATGCAGATGTATATTAATCTTCGTGGAGAATGCTTCGAAGAACAGCAAAGTCATTTAAAACTACCTACCGTGTTGTTTTATTCCCATATGCAAAACTTAAAAGACATCCCTCGTATTATCGCATAGCCGTTATTGATCAAGTTATGGTATTATGACAGTACAGTTCCTCAGAAAATGGGGAAGGAAGAATGAGTAATAGGATGTACCGAAGACTGGTAGGTCAAGCGTTATATTCATATCGGTTAGTAGAGGTATGGACTGGTAAAATGTTGCCAAGCTAAAATATCCGTACTCTGTGGTGTAGCAAATGTGCTCTCGTATGGACAATAGTTCCTACAAACTCGGCATACGTACGAAAAAAATGTTCCATAAGAGAATACCGGGAGTTTGGTGATATCAGACATACCGAGACGCTCGAATTTGGAAGGAAAAGCTAAAATCTTGAAATTAGTTTTGATAGTTTGATCCACGTGTGTCGAACATCCAAAGATAAGCGCATCGTATTTTGAGACGTCCAAACCTTGAAGTTGCCCAGGGTGAGCTTCTAATATCATACCAATAGTTCATATAGTGCAAGTACTAGCTACTCTTCAGGACCAAGTACTGTTATGATTATGTAGTAAGAGAAACTAGTTCTAAGTAAAAATATCCAATCGATCTGTGCATAAGCAAGTCCAACCTACAGAATCCTTTTCGCAAAAAGTCAAACTAGATCAAAAGAATGAACCATTTATGCTCCTTCAAATATATAAACAATTTTCAATTGTACAGGATGATGATTTAGAGGAGAACAATTCCGTGAATTAATAACACCAATCCTAGATTAATGTTACTGGTGTAACAATCAACTTGGAATCATAAATATGCATACCGAGCTTCAAAGTCCCCAAGCAGTGGTCGTAAACCGCTACAGAAATGGACAAATCGACCCACTAACCCATAGATAATTTATAACCCTTCAAAGTATACTCTATGACCTTAGAAATGTTACATATAGAAAAAATAGTTTCTTCAACTTGTTTCTTTGGCAACATAATGACTATATTTGAAGCATGCTATGGCAACAATGTCAAAGTTCCATCTTTGATTTTGTTTACATTTGTAAAAATGTTATCTCTAAGTTTTTGTGAAGAAAGCTGAGAGCTGAGGATTTGCTGTTGAGAGGCATGTACACAGGACTGTTGGAGTAATGGTTTGGGGGGCTATTGCCTATAGTAGCCAATCACCTCTTCTTTTTGTTCAAAGCAATATCACTGCTGCGCGTTATGTTGATGATACAAACCATTTTACTGCCGTATCTAGAAGGGCGTCCGCACGTCCTTTATCAGCAAGACAACGCACGTCCCCATATTGCTCGTCGTACTATGGACTTCCATCAAGAAGCAGGCGTTAATATTTTGCCGTATCCACCGGATTTAAATCCCATCGAACGTGTGTGGAATATGATGGGGAGGAAACTATCCACTTTGCAGCATCCGCCACACACCCTGCCACAGCTAATCCACGAAGATCGAGTTGCTTGGAATGTGGTGCCACAACCAGACATCGATAATCTCATTTTGTCGATGCCTAGACATATATATACAGGAGTGTATCCAGTTGCGGGCTCGCCCAACACATTAACTTTTGTCTCTTATTACTTCTCAAGAAAATTTCGCGAGAATTTTATTGTTTCATTCTTGATATACGAGTATTTGCCTCTCCCAGTGGAATAACTTACTCATGCATATATAATACGTATACATAACAAGAAAGTTTCGCTCAATAATGATCTACTCGTTTTCTGTAAATTTGTAAATTTTATTTCAATTTACAGGTACCAGGTCCCTCACCGACCATCCATAAGCACGACATATGTAATTCATCCAGAGATTTAGAGTAAGTATATTGACCATGAGTTGTAACTGTTGTGTATCAGTTTACCATTTATTTCCGTATTATATACTGCCTGCAATATTCTATACTTATCTGAATTTTATAATTTTTTTATAGTTTTATGTTAAGATATATGTGTTAAATTGCTAGTAGGTAAAAGTAGGTGCCAAGTGGCGAATACAAGTTTTACTTTTGGTACCCTGTATTGCAAATACCAGATATACTTTATTTAGGCATATTTTCATCGGTGTTACTTTTTTACTTTATATGTTTTGGAAGAGTTTCGGGTTGTATGTAAGATTCTGCCGGGTTCAATGTTTTCATAATCACAATAATTTATCAATTAGGCGCCAGCCATTCTACCATTCAATTAACTGAATTTTAATTTAGAAATTACCAGATACTTTCAGCTTACCAGTAGCTGTTGCGTTTACATATCTTACTAGTTGCAAATATGTAATTCCATACTCCAGTATGCAAGCTAGAGGGTGTCCAAGAAATCTAACAGAGGACTCTAAAGATTTCTGTTAGCTTAGGTAAACTGCCATATGTCGACACTTATCACTCGAATTACTTCAGTAAGTACGCGACATAGTTAATTTTGAAACTTCATTAGGATTCAACATGCATTAGATGCAAAAATTGACATTTTTTGTTTCAAATTATGAAGGGTTCATATCATAGACCGTACTTTTCGCTAACATCAGCACAATGCCCCCCCCCCACACACGCACACACACACACATAAATAAACACATACATAGTCCTATAACAGGTTCTATCGACAATTTCAGGATTTTCGGAAGTCTGAGATAGGGGACGCCTTATCATAATGGCATGGCGGTGCGGATATCAAGAAAAAGACCTCGTGGAGTTTCTCTACCTCTGATAAAGCGGAGTTCAATGAAATTTACTTTCGGTGTCGATAAGCTAGGCTGAAATTCCATGTAGTTTCGCACTACATAATTTAAGCTCAAGTCTCAGTAGTTCTAAAATTAGATCTAGTTTATTATACATGAAATAAGTCGATGACTAAAGATTGATCAGAGAGATTTGGCAGTAGTTACAAAAAAAATTGATAAGCCAGAATGCAAGTCTGTATCCCCTATAGCCATACGGTATCCATTGGTGTCTAGGCATTAGGCCTTCGTGGTGTTTGGAGCATAAAAAAAGTCTAGAGCTTAATTGATCAACCAAAAGATGAGGTTCCCTTATAGTGTTGTGTCCACTTGCATGATTTATATAAAATGCCATTACATTAATTGTGACAATCTAAGCTAAAATGCAAAAGCAGGGAAAAAGCTAAAAACACAAAAGCTGCCATTCAAAAAATTAAATAAAGCAACACCCATCACTGAGTATCTTTGTATTTACAATTCTGACTTTACAAATGATATCCAATGCATTATTGTAATAGGGGTTTCAGGATCTAAGCATCTCTCTATGCTTTTAGATAAAAATCGCTATAAAATATTAATATTTGCGATGGAAGTCCGGTAAGTCAAGCGATTTTGTTCGTAATGTGGTAACCTGAATTAAAATCTCTATAAGTTGGTAGTTAGTTTTCTGAACTCTCCTATAGTTGCAGTCACCGTTCGTGGGGCGGGTCAAAGTAAGACTAGCATCCCTTTATATATCTCCATCTCCCTCATACATACAAAAGAAACCTACCCCTTTGTGTGAACGTTTGTTCGGTAAGCTCAAAGACATACGTTTTTTTAGTTGTGTGTCTCCGTCTCAAAAAGTTTGTTGTTACGTATGAGTGCTGTTCAACCATATTTTTCAGAATCGGCGTCAAATTGAGTTGTCCTGTTATCAATCTTCAATATGAAATTGTACAATACCCGAGAATTCGATCAATGAAGAAGTCTGATAGCTCGTGCTAATTGTATTAGAGTATTTCCAGGAAGAGAATGAAAACAACGGTTCCGCTTCATGCGTACTGGAAAGAGTAGCAGATGCGCTAAAGATTAGTCTGCGCAGTGTTCAGCGAATAAAATCAGAAAATAAGAAAGGTTTGCCCATAGTAATAGCTGGGGAAACTCAAAAAATCAAATGCAAGACCGATGATGTAAATGATGCCATCAAAACAGAAATTAATAATAATAATAAGCAGAAAAAAAGTGTATGCTCATAGATGTTGCAGTCCCATCGAATTATATTCTCATTGAGAAAGAAGCCGAAAAGATGATTGAGTACAAGGATTTAGAGATAGAGGTCCAACGGATGTGTGGATTGAATACCAAAATAGTGCCCATCGTCATAGGAGCAACGCAGGAGAAATACCTGGAAAACATAACCTACATTTACTACAGAAAACAGTGATCCTAAAAACAGCACACACTATTAGAAAGGTACTCACTTAAGGAAATAAATATCGCACCCTAGGACTATGGTATATTCCCGGTGCGTATACTGCTAACTATTTTTTCCTTCCAATAGGGAAGTGAGGAATATTGAATAAATAATAATAATAATATAATTAGTATCGTTGCTAGAGATAGTGAATAACTTCTCAGAAGACATTGAAATGGAGCTCGGTCTACAGAAATGTGCTTGTCTGCATATACGAAGAGGAAAGGTACAATACCGTGATAATGCGGAAATGCTTAATGTCCTGAAAGTCCAAACGCTTACTGAGGAATACAGATACAAATATCTTGGTGCCTTACAGGCATGTGAACTTGATGCTGCTAAAACTGAAGAACTTGTCATCGCCAGACTTAAGGACCGCGTTAACCATGTCCTTCTGCCAAAACTAAGCAGCAGTTACATTATTCAAGCTTTGAACACTTGGGCTTTCCCTGTAATAATGTATACATTTGACCAACAACGACACTAAAAAAAATTATATTGATGTAAGAACAACACCAACTAAGTACCGTATTCATCAAGCTAAGTCATTTATGTGTAGACTGTATCTCCCACGGAAAAAAGGTGGGAAAGGTTTAATCAGTTTTGAGACTACAGGTATGGCGAGCCAACAAGAGAAAGCGCTGTAGCAATACTTTGAATCATCAACCAACCCATTACATAACGTAATTCGTATGATAGGAACGGATCATGTAATTTTCAAGACTAGACCTGATTCATATACAAACAATATCAGGATTACAGAGTGGCGACAAAGGCCACTACACGGTAGATTTTTCAATGCCCTCATTGACCATGGGGCCTCTCTATTATACCTTAAACTAGGATACTTGTTTCCTGAAACAAAGGGTGCCTTACATGCTATCAAAGATCAAGTGGTCCCTACACATATCAAGAATATTCAAAACCAACCGATTGACTCTGACAGATATGTCGTCGATGCAATACAACATCTGAATCAATCCTACATATTGTCTCTGGATGTCCTTCCCCAGCTCCAGCGATATACCTGGCAAGGCATAACATGGTCGCCAAAATAATAAGGTATTTGCAAAAACTACCTCATCCTGGAACATCTCAAGCCTGCATACAAATACGTCCCCTTGTTCAAACATGAATCATCAAGCGTCATTATTTATTGGAATACAAGCATATTGACCAGCACATGGACATACTAGTAATCGACAAAAGTAAAGAGATTGCTTATATCATAGATATTGCGGTACCAGTTGACGAAAATGTACAAAAAACTTACACCGAAAAAACAAATAAGTATGATCCGCTCTCACACGAGGTCTAACAACTATACAACTACATAAACATTTATATTGCCATTTATTGTTTCTGCCAACGGCCTCATCCACAAAAACTTCTACACAAACCTCAAAGCCTTGAAGCTTGACCTTAACTATTTAAGGGAGTGCCAGAAGGCAGCAACCCTCGGTACCTGAAGAATAGTCAGGAAGTTCTTCAAGTAACTTTGCCTATGGGTGACCTCGGGATTAATTTTCCTGTCAGTCAAGAATACCAGAATACCAGAATACCTGTGAAGCAAATCAAAAATAATCATCTTTAATCGTTGATAGCAAGGTACAAGGATATATTGCTACCCGGAATAGGCTAAGTTCAGCTTTCATTCTTAGGGGGAATAGCTGGTCTTCCACTTAACCCTACATAACGCACTTAATACAAATAAAGAAAGATTGACAAAATTCAGATAGAAGGAAAACAAGAAAAAATTCAGATTCATAGATGTAATCATATACATATAGGTGATAGATACTCAACATGGTACATTACTATAGCGAGACCTCAGAAACCTAGAGTAGTATTTTGTGAAAGAATCTAGCGAATTGGATTTTAAGTATTGAGTCTATTGAGGGACAGCATTATATGTTCTGAAGATATTATAAGAGAACGATCTTTCACATAGAGCAGTACGATGGGCTGGTGGTGTGATTGTAGTTTTAGACCTTATATTTACTTTGTGTACATCTTGGCGAAAGGTAATTTTGCTATATAAGTTTGACGAAGCTTTCATGGTCACAACCTTATGATGAAAACATGCGCTATGCAGCTCTTGCCTATCTTACAGATTTAACCAGTTTGTTTCGACTAACTTTTGTGAAATACACTTAGGAACACTTTCTACGATATGAGAAGTAAAGGACAACATATCAAATTAAGATCCGCCCATGGTACGGAGGCTCGATCTGTTTACTTATTGCATATGGCGTTGATGACGTAACCGCCAAGAACGGTAGCTACAGCTATATTATATAGTATATAGTCCTCAGCATGCATCAAGATTCACTTGACACTCTTACGCTGAAATAATACATACGTCAATTTCATTATCCCAGGTTTTAGCTTTATAACTTGAACAGTTCAGAAGGGAAGGGATCTTTTTAAATAGTAATACTCCGACACTTCAAGGGGAACAACGTTGCTGGTTTTGTAAGTAAACGAACTAAGACGCACCTGTTGGGCTTCTTGGCGGAGAAGTAAAGTTCATTCGCATTTTGTATACAACAACAAACCATCAAATTATGTCCCAACCAACAGAAGAATTGGATTTATAGCGGCTGTACAATTTTGTATAGATAGATTGTCTCAGATTCCTTTTATTT